TGAGGGGCACCAGCCGCCGTCAGTCAGAAAAAAAAAAAGCAGCATTGAAATGCATAGCTAGATTGCTATTGGTGGACCTGAAGGGGGACTTGAAGTTCTCCATCAGGTTCTCTTTTACTGACTGACAGCAGCAGAGGGCAGGTGCAATTGCCAGCTTGCTATTGGCTATTGCAAATTGAAATAGCTATAGCTATTCATTCCTATGCTGTTTTCTTTTTTTTTTTATTCTGACGGCAGCAGCTGCCGGAATACTAAAAAAAACTGCAGATAGCAAAAGAGGCATTAGCTTCTTTGCTATCTGCCATCATTTCAGGGGGTGCCCTTGTTGCAACACTCCCCGTGGGTGGGGACAGAGGGCACCTCCCTGAAATGAGAAGGGCACCTCCCCGAAATGACTTATTTCAGGTTGGGATCCCTGCTTAGTTTGATTTTTTTTTTTGTACAGCTTTTCAGAAAATAATCTAGCAGATTCCTCCATTGATGCTGTTAAATCTCCCACGGCAGGTATTGCATTTTGACAGTTGGCCCCATCGGTTGTCAAAATACCTGAATAGTGCCTGCATCTGGTTGGATGCAGGGGCTTTTCACCCGACAGATTTCCACCTGGATCCTTCGAATTTTGTTTCCCAATTGAAGTACAGTATGTCAGGCTGGAGTCAGCAGACATGGCTACTAAGGGAACCTATTTTGGCCGGTTCATTAAGAACAGGCTGAAATTTGCTCCGTGTAAACCCAGCATTAGTATAAAACACAATGTTGATACAATGTCCTGGTATGAGAGAAAACTCCCTCAAAAAAACAGTCCTTGACAAGGGGACCGTATGGGGCCAGAAAACTGCAATATTTAGGCATCAACCCTTGGTGAAAGAAGGGGCCATTATCTGCAATACTTGAGGACCCTTTACATTGTTCAGCCATAGAGCCACATTTTCTTATCAGTTTAAGGACTCTCTTTATAGTTCACTCAACCCCTGTACTTGACATTTACCTTACTTTCTAAGTGGTACAGTTTGCTTGAACTGCTTGGTAGACTGAAATGACATGAACACCATCTCAGCTAGCTAAGAATATGCAAAGAATCTGCCATGCCATATGGAAATATATACTGAAGTCCAGTCTATAGGTTTCATCCTTCATGTTCATGTCATAGGTTGACATGTGACTGCATTTTTTTCCATACCACAGTGTGTTAGCATTGCCTAGCAGCAGTGCTATGTCTATTCTATTAATGGACATTGCAGACCACAAGTGACCTTATTGAATTTGAGCATAGAGTATTAGATAATCATCAGAGGTTGGTGGAATGGTCTCGCCCACTGAAGCCCTACTTATCTTGTCATTGACAACCGTGCTAAAGATATTTGGAGAATGGTTCAAGAATTCGGCTAGTGAAAGTCTTGTGGCCAGAAGCAGTTTGATGATTTGAGAGGCTTAGGTGGGTGACAGCAATGCAAACCCATTGAGCTCTGTCTTTCAGATGATAGCTCAACGGTGCCTAAGTACAGTGTTCCTGGAATTGTGATCACCTGTTGTGTTTACACCGTACCTGACAACCCTTGCTTTCCTTTAGTGAGTGTCAGTACTTCTTTTTATAGCTGCAGAAGGACAGAAAAATGTAATGTTATATACTAAAAACATTTTTGAAGATGCAGAAGGTGGATATTGCTATCTGCTGTCCATTCTATTTTGCACAATTGTACATTCTGCGGGCCATTCATGAAATGTGGTCTGCGGTGTAAAGTCTGTGGTGCCCTACGGAGTAATCAGCTTATTGCATCAGAGGGCTATGCGGGAAAGCTAGTCATGTAACTGGGACAGGCTTTTCGTTTTTAGCCTCTTTCTATTTATTTTCATTGTGCTCCCCAAAAAAGATGGCAGTGTAGAGATAAAGAACAGACTGGAGGAACACTAGTTGCAGTGCGTTCCGGCCCGATTCTGGCCAGAACGCACTGCCTCGCATTGCGGCCGGCTCACTTTTTAGTGGGGCAGAAGGGGGTGTGGCGGGCCATTGAAGTGAATGGCACCGTAGCCACGCCCTCCGGCCGCAATGCGCTCGCCCGCATTTGATCGCAAGGCACATTGTGCCTGCGGTCCGATGTGATCAAAATAGTGCTTGCAGCATTTTGATTGCACCGGACCGCAGGGATAATGTGCCTTGCGATCCCGTGCGGCCCGGAAGGTGTGGCTACGGTGCCATTCACTTCAATGGCCCGCCACACCCCCTTCTGCCCCACTAAAAAGTGAGCCAGCTGCAGCAGTCTAAGATCTGGTAAATGATCAACGTCTATGCACAGAGTATACATGTGAGGACACTGAGGAACATTCCAATGCTTCAGCTGGCCGGCTCGGAGCTTCGGGTGAGTATAACTTTTTTTTAAACTTAGACCCAAACGAGCTGTTAAACCTTGCAGTGCGGGGGTAGCCCTAATGCAAGGGTTAATAGTGTTCTTGGAATTCTTTTCTAATATTTAATGTGCCACCCAAGCCTTGATCTTTGTTGGGACACACAGTATGCACATCTAGTTAACCACTGATAATAAAATCTGCCAGCACAGTACAGACAGGGTTAATAATGGCAAATCTTCCCAGCCCCATCATAAAGATTACAGAGTAGGAGAAGCTACCGGTAGGTAGGATTTTTCAGCCCTTGCGGTTTCAGAAAAGAACATGTAAAACATGAGCAGAAATGGTAAACATTTTTTGCAAGTTCTACCATGTGAATGGGTAGGTGTATATAAACGGAAACTAGAAATATGAAGTAAGTTTTGTCCCAATTTGGCAAAAGTGGAAATACCAAGTCAGTTTGAATGCTATATACTGTGGTGTGAGTGGTCTATTTCTTTTTAGAGCAATACTGTTTTATTGTATTCCTGCCTGTTAGTCATCTATGCGGTGGGTACTATATGAATATTTAAGTAAATGGTATGATAAAGTGTTGAGCTCACTGGCAATACAGGTCTACTGTGCATCTGAGAAGTTTACTGCAGCAATGTCCCAAGATGCACTACAGAACCCTTATTGCCTGTAAGCGATCATATATATGCTGATTATATATGCTCTAACACGCTTCTAAATATATGTTTTTTTAAAGTGTATCTTAAGAACAAAATGCAACTTACTAGACTTTAGATGTGGTGGCTGCTTTTAGTTTTCTTTTTTAGGCTTTTTTTGTTAACCTGGTAATCCAGCCAGTAGCACACTTTTTGTCCTAGGCTGAAAGTGTAACTATACAGGAACAGTGTAGTCACCCTAGAGAACATCGCCCCCTCTCCTTTTGTCTAGAACTTAGAGGGGAGGTATTTTGATCAGCCTGGAGCAATTCGAACTGATAGAGTTCAACGCAGGCAGAAAACACTGGAAGTAATCAACAGCATTTCTAGCAGGATCAAATGTTTTGTGTACTATTTTTAAACAGTTACAACAAAAATGCTTTCAATTGTAGATATAACAGACTAAAAGAAACAGAGACGTTAAAGTGACACTAAACTCAAGAGTTAAATCTTAAAAATGCATTCAAGTATCTTAACTATTCATAAAATGTATCTTATTTGTGTATCACTCAGCTGTAGATCCTCAAATCATCTGTGAATTGGTGCTGACACTGTCCTTCCTTCTGGAGGGGGCTACTTTTGTTCCCCATGGCTCCTGGTGGACCATGGGGAACAAAAGTAGGCTCGCTCCAATGGTAGACTACAATCTCATTGTAGTCCATCACGGGAGTGAGCTTGGAACAGTGGCTACTTTACAACACTCGCAGGGACCATGGGGAACAAAAGTAGCCACCCTCCACCCACCAATTCAGAGAGGATTTGAGTATCTACAGCTGAGTGATACACAAATAAGATTCATTTTGTTAATAGTTAAGGTACTTGAATGCCTTTTCAAGATTTAACTCCTGAATTTAGTGTCACTTTAATTGCTGGGGTTTATACATACCCAACACCTATACTAAAGTGGGTGATGCTCATAAAATGCAGCAGTATTTAGAACTCTGCCATTAATATAACAGCTTTAGCAAATAGATAAAAAGACGAGAACGGTTATTAACTTTTCACAGCTTTGAAACATTCATTGTTTTTAGTCACTGGTTTGCCATCGTTCGACTCATTTCACACCGTTTAAAAACCGCTAAGATGAATTTAGAACTCTTTAGTCACGTCAGCAAACAACCAACCAAGAGATGTATTTTTCCAACATCATTTTATTTGATTCTGGTTAAATGGAGATGTTGTATACATAAAAAAAATAAACAAGCAGCGTGCAAAGGAACCTAGTACTTTTACCATGTATAATCCACTCCAGCCGTCTAAACATTTATATTGATTTATATAATTTACAAGAAAACTGCTGTATACGTGTATGTCCGTGAAGGTTCTCATTCATCCGGGTCATGGTATATCTGTAAAAAATAAGTCAAGGCAACTGGACTTGCTGTATTTTTCTTGAAGACGTTTCTGGGCAGGTTAATAACACCTCCTAGCTCCACTTATGCAAATGCAATCAACACCTGGTTGCGACTAACAGATTATGTGGATTGGAGCAACATTCACCATATTTATTCCCAGATAATTTTTGTACAAGTCATTCTGAATTGAGAAAGCTGGTTTTGACTTATTTTTTTACTGATGTATACGTGTAGTTATATAGAGTTGATTAAATGACCACTTGTAGTACATTTCTTACAGAAAAGATAAGGCAATTCATAGTATGGAGCAAAGCTGAGTTCACATTAATTAGCACCCCAGTTTTTAGGTCCCATCACTATTAAATATCACTATTTTTCATTTATTAACCATTTAATAACTACTGTAGTCACACAATGGTTTACTGGACTAGCCCTGGATCTATACAGTGTATTGTAGTGGGTTTTTTTCTCTTTGCAGCACAAGATTGCAGTGTATGGGAAGTGTTGTCTGACCAAGAACTTCCTTTTTTTTTTTTTCAGATGATTCATAAAGACAGCAAACCCTTGCACTGAGTCACATTTTGTGAAGCTGGTCAGAAGTAGCAGTCGATACATGCTCCTCATCGGTTGGTACGCTTCTTGGCACAGCTGTTCGACCACACCCTTTGGCATCTGAACTGTTGGACCCGCTTCCACGTAGCATGGCGTTTGTGTACTCTCTGTATACACTACTGTGTTTTCTTCTGCCGGCTGCAATGTTTTTTCCAGAACCCAGGATCACGTGGCACCAAACAGGTAAATTATGATGTGCCAGCAGAATTCATTTATAGTTTTAGGTTTCGCCGATTACAGCTCTAATTTCCCATAATATTATTTAACCGTGATTGGCATATTGTTGATGGCACAATTTTTTGTTACTTCTCTGCATAATTTCTTTTTGACCGTTTTTTTATTTCCTTTTATACACCATTTTAACTCACTCTTTCAATGTACTACAGTGAGCACTAATCTCAATGTGCATCATACTGCAAAGCTTTCACATTTCTAACTTCTTACATCAGATGAAGTATATTGTTTCAGGTGGTTCTGTCAAGTATCAAGGCACCTTTTCAGCAGTGTTTTTTTTTTTTTTTTATATATATATAATAATTCTTTTTTCTGTAGCTGTAAAAATATGTATTTTATAAGAAGCAGGTTGGACTACTATTTTCATAGCTTTAAATTTTTAACCCTGCTTGTCAGTGATATCACCAAACAGGCATGTAAAATAAGATCGGTTACTGTTCCCCTTTCAGCAGAGTTTCTTTGTTGCGTAAAACACTTTACCAGAAGCTTCTTCTTTCTTCTTTCTTTTCTTTCTTCTTCGTAAATCAGGTGTAATGCACAGTGTTTATTATTTTAAAGAAGTATTGGGAGAGTAAAATGTACTTTTCCAATCCTGACACTGCAAGCGTCACAAGCCGGCTCGATAGATCGAGAACGGCATGATCTCAAACCGCTGATCACTCAGGTGGCTCCTGGATTGGACTGACCAGTTCCCGAGTTTAATATACAATTGTCCACCCCTGATATACCACAACTACTTGTGATAAACTATGCTTATTCTCAATGTACCCCCACACAGGCACAAAACATTATATGATCTAAATAATTCTGATGCATCTACATTTCAGTTTCTTGGCTCAAAACAAAACCTAGCTTAAAGGAACAGTTGGGACCTCACAGATGTTCTCGTCTGATTCGACCAATTAGACGGTGGGGGGGATTTATCAAAACTGGAGCAGATGTGCATGGCAACCAATCAGCTTCTCCCTTCAGTTTGTTCAGTTAAGAGTTGAAAATAGAGAGATGCTATTTTGTCTGCTCCAGTTTTGATGAATTCCCCTCATAGTGTGTTGTAGAAAAATGTATGCAGCATTCTAGCATTGTATGTGTACCTTTTTTTAGTTTTTGGATCCTGAAATGTGGAACTATTGCTGTGACAGTCCATTGATGCGGCAATCGTGCATCCAGATTACTTCTATTTCCTTATTGCCACTAGCATCTAAAGGTGTATACCACAGGGACTCGTACACACACCTGCACATGCAGAATCACATACATACACACAATAGGTTGAACTTGATGGACCTGTGTCTTTATTCAACCTCAAATACTATGTAACTATGATTGATTTTTTTTCTATACCCATTCCCGTTTATTTTTGTTTACATTTTCACTAAAGATTTTTGTGTGCAGCCCCCCCCCTCCCCCCCCCCACCTCTCACTATCGC